CGGCGGCGGCGGCGGCGCGCACGGGAGGCGCGCCCTGGGCCGCCCGCGCCCTCCCAGCTCCCCCACCAGTGCACGAGTTTACCTCTAGAGGTCATCAGGCAGGATTTACGACTGGACAACAAAAGCACGTGATGTGAAGCCGTACCCCATATTTGGGTGCCTACGTAGGAGGGAACCAAGTACATGTCCCAGTCATTTCCATAATTCATCATAAATTGTGCAAGGGTGCTATAGACGCACAAAACGACCAAGAGCCACAAATCAAGCACACATATCAAAAAACAAATGAGCTCTTATTTTGTAAACTCATTTTGCGGTCGCTATCCAAATGGCCCGGACTACCAGTTACATAATTATGGAGATCACAGCTCGGTGAGCGAGCAATACAGGGACTCCGCCAGCATGCACTCCGGCAGGTACGGATACGGCTACAATGGCATGGACCTCAGCGTCGGGCGCTCTGCTTCCACCCACTTTGGTGCCAATGAGAGACCCCGCAGTTACCCGGCCAACACCACCTCTGCCTCGACAGAGCCCAGGTACAACCAGCCCGCGACGTCTTCCCACTCGCCTCCCCCTGACCCTCTGCCCTGCACCGCCGTGGCCGGTTCGCCTGTCAGCGAGAGTCACCACGGGGTGAAAAACTCCCTCGCCAACTCCACCAGCACTTCGTCCAATTCCAGCAGCAACACGCACATCAGCAGAGACGGGGTTGGCACCTCGTCTGGGACTGAGGAAGACACTCCAGCAAGCAGCGAGCAGGCAAGTGCCCCGACCGACCAAAGCACAGCCCAGCCTTCACAGCCCCAGATCTACCCCTGGATGCGAAAACTGCACATAAGTCATGGTAAAGCAAATACCCTGTTCTTTCTTTATTTCTCTGGAGGAAAAGGAGGATTTAATGTAAAACGGGTGGCTGCGCCGAGCAAGGTCGGGGAGAGGGGGAGAGGAGGGCGTGAGAGCGGGCAGTCTCCGCGCACATCACAACTCTGTTCGCAGGGAAGCACGCTCCCTTCTCTGGGCGAGTCCCCCCCGAAAGGAAAAAAAAAACCGCCCGGCCCCGAAAACACCGCCYGCCTGGCTCCCAGCGCCGGCGGGGGGAGTAGAAGGCGCTTTGCCGAAGGGAGATCGGGAGCAGAGGCTGCTCCCGGCTCTCCTCTGTAAGGGGGATCTTCCAGTGGGAACGGCGCGGCTGACCCCATTTATTTTGCTTAGGCATATTAAAAAAGAGAATAGGAAAGGGTGAGAAGGGCAGTTTTCGCTGCTGGGAAGCCGTGGGGGAGGGGGGAGGACTAGTCGCCCCAAACTCGGGGGAGAGGGCTTGAGGGGCGCGGGGAGCGGAGCAACTTTGAGCCCCGGGTACCTGCCCTGCCCTCGCTGCTGGGAGAGCGGCCGGAGGCTCGCTGTCTCCCAGAGCCTTCCCCAGCTCAGCCGTGGGAAAGGGCTGCACGCTTCAGCTTTGCTTCTYTCAACTCTGAAAACCCAGCTACCAGCAGAGCCATCCTCCAAATCAGCTTATCTGGGGGAGGCATGGCGGAGAACTAACCTTATTGAAAAATAAAGAAAAAGGTGCAAAAACTAAATTAAAAAAAAATTTAATTGCAAACCCAAGCAAAAACTTACCGARGCTACCAAATCCCCCTCCCCCAAGCCTTTCCTAAGAGGGGCTGGAGGGGGAAACTTGTTGAGCGTTTATCCAAACCAGAAACAAAACCAAGCAGGACTGAGAATAACGGTCCTGGTCGCTGGTAGCTGCAATGAGACACGAAGGCTCCGAGTGGCTGCTGAGAATCTAAATCGTGTACTTTTCTCTTCCAGACAACATAGGGGGACCAGAAGGGAAAAGGGCTCGGACTGCTTACACCCGCTATCAGACCTTGGAGCTCGAAAAGGAATTTCACTTCAATAGATACCTGACCCGCAGAAGAAGGATTGAAATAGCACATGCTCTTTGCCTCTCAGAGAGACAAATAAAGATCTGGTTCCAAAACAGGAGAATGAAATGGAAAAAGGATAATAAGCTGAAAAGTATGAGCATGGCAGCTGCAGGAGGGGCATTCCGTCCCTAAGCATTTGATCAATTAAAAGTACTGAGCAGTATTAGCTGACCCTGCGTCGTCTCATGTCAGTACTAAGTTGACTTTCTAAAACTTCCTTGTGTTACTTCTGTGAAGAAACCCTGTTCTTGTCGCCCTTATTCATCTTTTAATCATGAGCCTGTTTATTACCATTCTCTCGCGTGTATAAGTAGATCTGCTTTTATCGTACATTTCTTTGTCTTGAATGGCTTTGTCTTGAAAAAAATAATAGATGTTTTAACTTATTTATATGAAGCGAGCTGTGTTACTTGAAGTAACTGTTAAAACAAAACAAAACTAAACAAAAAAGAACAAAAAGGAAAAAAAAGAAGTTAAAAAAAAAAAGAAGGAGAGAGAAAGGAAACCCTCCCCGATTTAGTACAAATGTTATGTGTTGCACTCAACCTGCTTAACTGTGCATGTGTGGTCAAGTGTTAATGTCTGTATAGCTCCAAGCTGTTAAAAATATTTTTATTCAAACTACCTATATAATTCCTGTGTAATTAATGCTGTTGTAGAGGTGAAATGATGAAACCAACTGAACTTGTTCTACGTGTAGTGAATAGTGAATCTGTGACGAAAACTGTGATTCCAAGCAGTATGTCCTTGCTGTGCCTTTGTATATGACTCTTTGCACGAACTCTTAGAAGTGGCTCTTATTAAGCGCAGCTTCTGTGATGTATGTTTTTTGTGAACAAAGTTACAAATATAGTCAAAGTCTGGCTGTTTGAGCAAACTGTGATCAGCTTTTTTTTTTTATTATTATTATTATTTGTTTTTAAAAAAAACCTGACTGGAAATCAACAAAAAAATAAACTTTCTATTGTAAAGTTTTTGTGATCTGGTTTGTGCAAAGCAAGAAGTTGTGCTTCCTGATTTGCCTCTGGAAAAAAAAAAAAAAATCCCGTGCAGTTTGTTATAATATTTTACCTGGTTCCTGCTGCATGTTGCAAATGGTGGATGCTGCGATTGTCCACTACCAATATTTTTAATTGAAAGTTTGACCATAAGTTCTTCCTTACTTGTTTCTCGCTAGGTGGAAAGCTGCATCGCAGGACCACAATCAACACCCTTTGTGGCTGAATCAACTGTTAGCTGTTTGCTGGCGGTTAAAATTTAAAAAAAAAAAAAAACAAACCCCAAAAAAAAAACCCCAAAAATTCTCTTAACCCCAAAACATGTGCTTTGTTAAAATACGCTGCTAACTCCAAGGCGTGTTTGCATCGCTCTAGAATTTCTCTTGTGGTTTCACTAACTATATTTCAGGGCAACCATGTCCAAGCCCTCTGCCTCTATTAGTAACCCTCTCTAGCCACATTCCCACTCTTCACCCTKTAAAGATTTTTGGTTTTCTTCACTACAATTAGTTTGCTATAAACGTAATGTTACTTACCCCATCAGAGCTTGAATGGTTAACTCTTCTGAGCTTCTAAGAGCAACTAAAGATTTGCACATTTACTGACTGGTTACATTGATGCCTTCCCTTAAAAGTTATAAAACAGTAAACTTTATAAGCCCCAGTTCCGGCTATATGACATTTGGGTGCCAAATGAATAGGGTTTTGTCTATGAATTAGATCGTAAAATCATCCATAGCACAGACAGATAGGCTCACTGGCTATAAAAAGTCACGTGGTGCCATTAAAGTAAGTTTTATGGTTTTGGGGAGTTGACATCCAACATTATATACCACATAACATATAATCTCACTGACGCTGGACTTCATTTGACTCTTTTGCAGGCTACGTGTGCCTCCTGGCCATTCAAATTGTCAGGTTTAGGGACAGAAGTATCCAAACCACAAGTTCTCAGTACTATGTGAAAAATGGCTCCTTGCAAGTCAAAGGTAAGTTTTGTGCACAAGTTCCTTAAAGTTTATTTGTACAGTGGGGAAGCCGAGGCTCCTGCTCGCTCCTGCTCGGTCTCGCCTCTTTCTTTCTCTTTCTCTTTCCCTTCCTCTCTGCCTGGAGGTTTTCAGGACGGTCCCACCGAGCCCGAGAGGCAGGATCAAGCACTAATGATCCAGGTTGCTCTGCAAATACYTCCCCCCCACCCCTTCACTCGCAGCAGCTAGCTCTCTATTTTAACGATCAAATCAAAGTAAACCACAATAAGCGACTTTGGCAGAGATGGATTTTGGGGCCTAGCTTTAATCACTTTGACTACCGCAGAAGATAATTACTTCCTTTGCTCCAATAGACTCTCCAAGTTTGGAGAGGTTTTGTTTAGCTAAGAGTAGTTACTGCAGGCGATTAAAAAAAAAGGGGAAAACAAAATAGATTGGGCTCGATATTATCTGGGCAGTATCTTATGTAGGCATGATAGAGTTGGAGGCGTGATGATGTGGTAATAATCTTTGGATTGGTGAAATATGTTGCACATCAGATCTAGAATTAAAATGCTACAGACTGTACTGGAGTGCTTAGATACATATTTTCTGCATTGGGTTGTGCAGGAAGCTTTAGCTATGTGTATTTGTACGTCTGCGGGTGTGTAGTGTGTTTTGGGGATACGCGTTTATAACGTTGCTGTAACTTTTTCCTGATTCTYTATGTAATTGCTTAAATAGAAATATATTTAAATTATATGCATGTGTGCCTGCATGTACAAATCAGTATGTTGTTCTGTGTAAAGCCGTGCACATGCATATATGTGTCTAATATTGGTGTATTCATGTATACAAAGGGTGTGTACGTGTGTATACATATATATGTTCCTGGGACTTTTTTTTTTTTTTTTAAGCGAACCAATTGACTGTAACTTGTAGCATTAATACAAGAGACTACAGGTCATTAGAGTGCTGCAAATTATGAAATACGGGCTTGGTTTATTGAAGATTGTAAATATCCCCCTAGCTCTGCTCTCTCCCTTTCTGCCTTATATTGCTGGCTGCCATTGTGGGGTAGGCCCCAGCTGCGTGTTTACTTCAACATTCTTTTTATTTAAGTGGACTGTTCTCACTAGAGTGTGATTACTCAGCAATAAACTTTATGGCCGGATTTAACTTTAGTCTTTGAATTTCCAGGACTTGAATGAAAGGGTGAAAGGAACTCTATCTTTCTCTGGGCAACATTAAGGCCTGATCCTTATCCTAAGAGCTGTTACTTTGGCAAGTGATCTCGGGGTGGGGGGGGGCTGGGGGGTGCAAACAGACTAGTCAGGGGCTAGGGTAAAATTTTGAGAATTCCCTTCTATCTATCTATCTATCTATCTATCTATCTATCTATCTATCTATCTATCTATCTATCTATCTATCTATCTCTCCAAACCAGCTGTGGGTATCTCTTTCTCTGCACAGGTTTGGAGTTAACATTGATTCAGCGGATTGCACTGTTTTCCTTTATGTGCCATAAAGCTGGGTTTGCAAAAGAATGGGGTGGTTTGATGTGAGAGATGGGCTTTGTTTTATTTCGCTAGTGCTATGCCATTTGAATGTTGTGRTTTAGGCTGGTTTTGCTACTGTGARMAAAAATGAGAGAAAGACACAGGGTTTTAGGAAGGGTAGGGTTGTTGTGTACTTCTGCAAGGTCTGCATATTGCTGACTGATTCCTATCTTTAATTTATTTGTCTTTAGCTTTAAAGAAATTGTAGTATCTAAGGTTCATCCCAAATATCTCAGTTTTAAAAACAATTAACATTTAAAGTCAGCCCTTKTGGAAGATAAATAGAGTCTGATGCCTTTGTTTGTCGATCCTTCCTATCAACACTAAACAAACACATCTGCATATATTCCATATTAAAAAAATTAAACAGACTTTAAAAGAGCATATCCAAATGAAAATTTGAAAATAATTTCCTTATAAACAGCTGGAGATTTTATAGTACTCTAGTTGCCACATTTTCGTCAATAGGAATATCAGAAATTTATATATGATGGGCGTGTATTATACTATATCATATGCCATAAAATTTTACAGCTTGAGACAAGGCTTGAAAAACYCTTAAAAGTTTGGTCATCATTTATACACAGGTCCTTTTCCGAGGAAAATCCTTTGCTTGTAAATGGGAATTTTACTAGACACAAATAGCYCAGGATTACTCAGTATTCAACAACACTGCGCTATTTGAATTAACTGGCGAATATACAAGCACGCATGGACACCCGTTCAACTAATGTTTTAGGATCTTGGATATCATCCTGGATTGTAATTGTTCATTGTCTAGAGTGAAAATATTTGCTACTATGTACTTTACACATTTTTGAATGTGGCTTCTGGACCATATCCCACACAAAAACAATGTACAGATGTTCAAGAACTGCACAAAAGAAAAATATCCCTAAGTCCAGAAGCTTATAAACCTGCCTGTACTGCGAGAAAAAACTAACAACAAAAGAAAGTTAGGTAGAAATGACAACTTCACCATGTTTCTGGCCCTGCCCTGTCCTAAGCATCGCAGYTGAAACCATTCAAACCCAGAAATGCATTAAGATTTCCTAATATACTTTGAAATTTGAAATTCAAACGAGCCCAGACTGCCGAAATCTGTAGAAATAGYCCAGGTCTGAATTGTTTTCCGAGGGAAATTGTCATAGAGAATTATCGCTGGAAATCAGGAGAGAGGTTTTATCCACACACGTTATTTTTCTGATGCTTTTGGGGAATTAATAAGTGCAAGTTTGTTCTACTTTAGGAAKGGCGAGTTGCGTTCTGCAATTTGAAATACAGTTTACCTAACCCTTTGAAAGAAATTCTTGCATGTAGTGTCTCATGTCAAAGCGTAAGGAAAATTGAAGATTAGGCAGCTCTCTAAATGTGTGGAACTGGTGACTTYGCAAGACATAACTTTCTCTAAACCAGAAGTATAACAATCCAGTGGAAAGTCATCCGTAAATTACAGCTCCGCAGCYTTGCCTAAACCATGCAAACACCCTAATTTCAGAACATTACAGGGAAATTATCATTCTGCCATTTCTTTATATTTAATAAGTGTGTATCTGTGGACGGGTGACAATAGAGAAATTTGCAATCTGCTCCATGGGAAATTGAATGGAACAGATCATGAGGGGAGGATCAGGAGGTTTCGATTTCAAACCCTGAATTGGAGCAATGCCTTTTCCCTCCCCGCAAATACMGATTTAATGCATTTAACGCAGACACAAGTAAATCTGACCAAGTTAAGATGTCGTTGGCTTTCTTGGTTCTGTCTCTTTCCTGCCCTCAAAATGTCCCCGATTTGAGGGCTAGGGTTACTAGTTAGAGCGGAAAACCACAGCTCCCACAGTCATCTGGTCATATTTGAAAATATTATCCCTTTCAAATTAAAGTGTCTTCACTAATGTCTCTCTGGAAGGCAAATACTCATGGACCACCCCAGTCACATGCTCCTGTAGCTACGCGCACAAACAA